GAGATGCGATACTCGGGCTGCAAGATCGTTGACTTCAAAAGGACACCGCTCGAGGTTCGTAGTCTAGGACGGGATTACTACTATGATCTGAGTATGGGAGACAAGCTGCTGTCCTACGACTTTGCCTGGGCCGGTAGCAAGAATCGTGGCTTTGCGGAGGAGTTTGAGCGCGCCAACATCAATCTGTCTCTTGTGGAGGCACAAGTGGTAAGTTTTTCTTCCGTTCGTCGCAAATGAGTTTATTTCCTAATCTGAAACAGAGCCTTCTCCATAGCTGGAAATTCTTCGCTATCGAGCACTGTGCCGATTTCATGCCCGATACCGAAGTCCGAAAGTCGATGGCGCTGGTCGCGCAAAGTTGCTTGAAGGCCAATATTAGCAGTGGCCCTCCTGAGGCCATCTTTGAGCGAATCCAACAAGCGCGCGTTGATTTCGCCCAGGCACTTCTCCAGCGGCTTGTCGAGGTCCACGCTAGAGGCGCCGAAGTGTTCCAGCTACTCGAGATTACGTGGACGGCACTACGAGCCCGGCATCTGACATACGAAGATGCTTTGGTTAACGACGATACTGATTACTTCCGATCCCTTCTGAACGTGCTATTCCTTTCTCTTCAGTTCCACTTGGATAGTCCCTCTCGGAGTGCCCCCGAAGCTATCAATAAGAAGGCTGAAGTCTCTTCTGACCTGACTGTCATTGTGGAAGTTGTGAAAACTGTGGTGGCCCAAGGCTTCAAGTCCCTCACCACTTATCTCCATGACGCGCCGGAGAAATGCGCACCGAAAGATTTCGCCATTATCATTGCTATTCTGCAGACGGCCTTGCAAGTGAAGAACGCAGATCGTCTCTATGAGCATATCGTGTACCACATTGAGGAAAACGACACCGCTCGTCATGCGACGACGCTCTTCTCCTGGGCCGACCAATTAGCCGTGGGAGGCGACCCTGTGTATGCAGAGCTCAGCATCTCGATTCTGGTCAAGATGTCAAGCCTACCCATGCTCGCGGAGCACCTCGCTGTTGAGGCTGTCCTGATGAAACTGTCCACCTGTCGCCTTACAAGCATTCTCACCCAAAAGAAAGCCTTCGGAGCCTTTGACCCCGTTCCTCGATTGTACGCCATCTGGACTGGAGGATTCCTCCCTCTGTGTCTGAACCTCCTCTACAGTGTCATGCGGACTGCGCCCGAGGTGTCTGCGTTCATCAACCAATTCGAATCGCGTCTGACCCGCGCGTCAGAGGCATTCTCCAGCCATACGGCCGTTTCCTCCGTTCCGACATCCAAGTGGATCAGCCTCAGCATGGTCTCCGAGGCCTACTCGCTCGCACTGATCTCATTCATCCTGAACCAGTTCCGTGAGGCGGGCGCCAGTGCTGGAGTTGACGCACAGGCCATCCAAGATCTCAAATGGGATAGGGTGCAGGTCAAGGAAGACATTGAGGAGCTGCTCAGTCGCCGAGCTTCTCTGCGTGCACGCATTGTCGCAACTAATGAGAAGGAGTTGGAATGGTCCCGACAGAAGCCTCTTGACTCGACTTCTGGGGCTGAGAACCGATTGGAGGAGAAGCTTGTTATTGAGATGAAAGCCGCAGTTACCTGTTTAGGTGGGGAGGAATCATGAATATTCGCTTTGTAGCCTTTTTTGCCATTTCTCTTTTTTTCCTCGTGTATTATGGGCTGGTCGGGGTGTAGTAGATGATTCATGGAGCTGAAGTTTCAAAATAATTGCATTATTTCCGGTCCTTTATTCTCTTAGATTCATATTTTAGAGGTTATATACGGTCCATCAACTTCAAGTCGGCGAAACTCATACTCTTTTTGGCCACAGCCTAAGCTATTCAGTTAATAGCCTTTATGTAGTATCAGCCCAGCACACTAGTTCCATTCTATTACTCCGTCCAGTGTGAAGACCGAGGCCCCGGCACTTCTTCCCCGCAAAACACTTTGTATAACCGACAATGCGGGGAGATTATGCAGGAATAAGGGCGATTGTGCAGAATTAGATACGTCCCTGACTTATATGAAGTCCTGATGTTCCTCCAAGTCTTTTTTTTTCCCTCACATATTGATACTGAACCATTACCTGTTATACTCCCAACATGCCGTATAAATCCCGCTGGACAATCGACATCCCAGACACCCATTTAGCTTCTCTTCTCTTCCAATCGCCCACAGCATCCCTCTCCAAAACACACAAGTGCTACCTGGAAGCAGCCCGCCCAGAAACTCATTACCTCACCACCCATGACCTCCGCCTCTGGAGCCAGCGGTTCGCCGCAGGCCTACGCAAATCCGGACTCCAACCAGGAGACCGTGTCCTCCTCTTCTCAGGCAATGACCTCTTCTTCCCGGTAGTCTTCCTGGGAGTGATAATGGCCGGGGGAATCTTCACCGGCGCAAATCCAACCTACATAGCCCGTGAACTAGCCTACCAACTCCAAGACAGCGACGCCACCTACCTCCTCTGCGCAAGCAACAGTCTAGAAACAGGCCTAGAAGCAGCCAAACAAGCCAATCTACCTACAAACCGCATCTTCGCCTTCGACAACTCCATCTACGACGGCATAACAAAACCCCAAAAAGGCTGCGCGTATTGGAGCGATCTCCTAGCCTCAGAAGAAGAAGGCCGCGCCTTCATCTGGGACGAGCTAAATACACCAACCCTTTCTTCCCGCACACTAGCACTCAACTACTCAAGCGGCACAACGGGCCGTCCCAAAGGCGTCGAGATCTCCCACAAGAACTACGTCGCTAATATGCTCCAGTACTGCCACACCGCAAGTCTGCATCCGGACTACGAGGCCCGTCGTGCGCGGTCCAGATGGCTATGCTTCCTACCGATGTATCACGCGATGGCGCAGAATATCTTCGTCGCGGCGGCGCTATACCGCGCCACGCCGGTATATATCATGCCCAAGTTTGACTTTATCAAGATGCTGGAGTATACGCAGCAATTCCGAATTACGGATTTCATTCTCGTGCCGCCTGTTGTTGTTGCATTGGCGAAACATCCTGCTGTGAAGAATTATAATTTGAGTAGTGTGGAGTCGGTTGGGAGTGGTGCTGCGCCGTTGGGGAGGGAGGTTTGTGAGGAGGTTGAGAAGTTGTGGCCTCCTGGGAAGATTAATATTAAACAGGGATGGGGAATGACTGAGTGAGTTTGCAGTTTTGCAGTTTTGCTTTTTTTTTTTTTTTACTTCTTCTATTTGGTTGGAAACTAATCCCTCCTGCTTTTTATAGGGCGACTTGCTCAGTTACGGGATGGAATCCTGCCGAAATCAGTACTTCTGCATCTGTCGGTGAGCTCAATGCTAATTGTGAGGCGAAGATTATGTTGGATGGAAAAGAGGTGAAGGAGAGGAATTCTCGTGGCGAGTTGTGGATTCGTGCTCCTAATGTGATGAAGGGTTACTGGCGGAATGAAAAGGCCACTAAAGAGACCAAAACTGAGGATGGTTGGTTGCTCACTGGTGATATTGCCTTTGTTGATGATCATGGTAAATTCCATGTTGTGGATCGAATGAAGGTATTTATGAAGAAAGAAAAGAAAAGAAAAGAAAAGAAAACTAACTAACTAACTAACTAGGAATTAATCAAAGTCAAGGGCAACCAAGTGGCGCCCGCCGAGTTAGAGGCTCTATTACTTGAACATCCAGCGATATCAGATGTTGCAGTTATCGGAGTTGTCAGGTAATTATTTCCGTTTTTTACCTTCTTCTCACTTCTTTTTTTTTTCTTTTCTAAATCAGATTAGCAATAACGATGAGCAACCTCGCGCATATGTGGTGCTTAGACCGGGCCAATCCGCCACCGCAAAGGAGATCACGCATTTCATGGACGACAAGGTCTCCGCGTTCAAGCGGATTACCGGCGGAGTTGTATTCCTCGATGCGATACCGAAGAATCCCTCAGGCAAGATTCTTCGTACCAAATTGCGTGAACTAGCCAAAGAGGAGCTGAAGAGAGTCACCGCTAAACTCTAGACCTTATACTATAGTTTTATATATATCTTAGCGCTTTAACTTTTTTTTTTTAGGAAACCAGTTAATAGGTGCAATATACGGAGTATACGGAGAGACCATATGACTTATTCGTTTTATGTTGTGATTCGCGGGCTTATGCACCCGGGCCAAGGCCCTCAATCCACCTCAGATTGATCTAGACATATTATAAGACCAAGGGGGGAAAAGTAGATAATTAACTGCTCGGATAGGTGCGTGTAGCCCACTATAATAGCCGAGAAAGGAATCTTGCAGTGTGATTCGATGTATGAAAGTGTTTTAGCGCGGGGACCCATGCAGGCGCAAGCTGAATTTCATCTCGAAAGTTATGATCGACAGCACATGTTTTTTCTCCGCATGCTAAGAGAGAGTAAGATTTGAGATTTGAGATATGAACTAAACCCCAAGGAAGTAAATGAGTAAGATTTGTGTAAACAAAGAATATTCCAAGTGGCGTGTAGAAGGCAAGCTGAGTGGAGAGACACGGGCTGGCTGGCCTTTAATTTATCCACTTTATACTTAAGAGAGGCAAAAACACATCTTCTATTTGGCATTTTATATTTTATATTTTGAATTTGAATTATTCGACATGTCAAATAATTCTAATTTGCCTCTTTAGATATCCTGGTTCTCGGGCTCTCTTTTCCTATTTTTTTTTTCTTTCTATTTCTTCAAGCCCTATCTTGCATATATCGCCGTGCACCAATGCATACTTCGATCTTCGATCACCCCCCCATAACCTATTTCGGATCGATTTCAGTTAGATCTTATATATAAACTAAAACAAGTCCACCCTGCACACCGTCCCACTAGTTCCGCCTTCTCCCCGCCAAGTCCGCTTATAGTCTCGATTCAATACTCGTATCTGACTTGGTAAAATCCTTCGAGTTCTTTACTTCCCCACACGCCCAGTCTTAAGTTGAGCTGTTTCCCCCATTTCTACAGGGGTGTCAGTTTCAACTTTGCGAGTGGTGGACGCTATCCAACCCAAACGCCCAGACATGAACACCGTGGAACAATACAACCATCTGCCGTGTGAACCCCTGCAGTCGACTGCCGAACTTGTCTTACCTGTGACCACCCTGGTCAGCCTTTCTCTTCTCAGCCTCATCTTTATCCATCGGTATATCAAACATCGGAGACAAGCCCGCATACCTATCTCTGAACTTGAACAAGAGCAAGACTTCTGGCTTCAGTCTATCACTATGGAGAAAGGCGACATCATTTCCTCCGACTCGCGATTTCCATCTGCATGCGATATCTTGCAACCTTTATCGCATACAAGCCTCCTCCCAAGCAGTGGAACTCTTGCTGCACAGGTCAGAGAACAGCAAAGTCAAAGAGCGGCCATCGATGCGAGTAGTACTTCTTCACCTGAGACAGGCGAGGTGCAAAAACGCAATGAATCCATTCAGCAAATGTGTGAGGAAGATGCCGAGGGAGGGCGGACTTGGAAGCGTGTTGTTGTTGAGTATAGATAGTTGGCCTATTTTACAGGCTGATCTATTCCGTCCGATTACCAGGCTTGGGTTCTGCGTTATTTATATGTTTGCTTTTGCCGTTATATCTCTTGTTATGCCTTCTCTTATGCCTTTCTTTCTTATTCCCTTCTGTGTGGTTCCTTACTATTTCACGAATAATGTCTTTCCTTAGAAAAGCGTGGGCTTGGATTGTCTCTTTCGGTCAAGCATTGCTTTGGGCGGCAGAGATGTTTATTTTGTTAAGCACATGTTCAGCAATATATTTATGAATATGACAAGTTATTTGATTATGATACAACTTGGGAAAGATCTGAACCTAGCGTATTTGCTTTGTAATTGACGAAATCTACAGAAAGCTTAGGCTTTGTAGTATAATTTGATTGTACACCTGTAATTAACTGGTTATAAACCACAAACGCCATGACTCCATCGCAAATGAGGACCATCCAACAAGCTCAATAACCTTCTGCATAACACCTGCGGCAAATAGTAAGGGCTGATTAAGCTCTTATCCCATTGGAGAAACCTGCATGGCTTTTTTGACTTCCCATGAAATATACACTCGCAGAATCCTGATCCAGCCTGTGTCTTGGCCTTGATGGAACTAACTCAAATGTTGATGATACGCCCGATGAAGGGCCACGAGAAAGCTCAAATGAACTATTCGGTGCTGGACGCTTCGGCTTCGGCATCAGATGAAGCAAAGCATTGTTAAAATGTGAGGTTTGGTGAAGTAATTCTTCGATTCTTTCCCCTTGGCGCATGCCATCTTGTTCGATACGATCAGTGGCAGACCTGGAATGTATTAACAAGACATCCATAAAACCCACATTGTAGGACGTACCATATAAGAGTATTCAAGAGAAGATTGATCGAATCAAGATGTGACTCGAGCTTCCGTCGGTATTGAGTCAAGGACTCGCCTTTGAGATCCCACATGATCCGCCGCCATTGTGTTTTGACTTGAGTGGTCAATTGTTGAGAGTATAAGAAATTGACTCTGCTTCCATCATGCAATTCTAATGAAGGTGTGGTAACTGTAGCTCGGTACTTGTCTGTGGCGGATTCGAGGTGTCCTAGGGTTTGGAGGCATGAGCGGATCATAAACCCTAATTGCTGAGCAAGGTCGGTAGGATCATGGTCCAGAGTATTGGGGTTCCTCGACAAGATAACAACAGAAGACCTTTGCAACTGAGTCAGAGAGCAATTCAAGCCAAACAAGACACATTCAAGTTCTCGTAGATCGCGTGGTGCATTCTTTCGACCTGTGGTTGCGGCAGTAAATAGTCGATAGGTGATTTGGCAGCAGAGGATAATGTCCCCAACTGAGAATCCGAACGACATTCTAACCGTTCAGTGATGCAAAAGAAGCGAGAAAAGAAGAAACAAGATGATCGTAGAGCAAATTGTTGACGAGCAAGTCAAATTGGAAATAGGAATATGTAGAGGGGTAGTATAGTATAGGCAATCGAAGTATCATATAAGGGTCTCTGGGCCACATATACTAAGTTCGTATATATTATCCCAATCTTAGTCCACGATACTAATTTGTGGCGCAAGTTATGTATGAGCAGATGCAGGTCTGTGCGGTTGACATTGTACCACATGTACGGAGTATCGAGTACCCATGTGGGTGATAGAGAATATGGCTGTCGATCAAGTACCCAGTACTCATCCAGCGGTCTGCAAGGGAAAAACAGTGGAAGCAATGGCAGGACGGAATATAACGACCAGTGTGCAACTTACCGTTTTCCCATACTCAATACTATAGACAAAATTTGTAGTGGCAGGCTGGCCGTTATTAGCTGTTGTACAGTGATCGTGGCTATGGATTATTTTTTTTGCTTGTACACCAATCAAAATATAGAGAACTCAGTGCGCTATGTTTTTATTGGCCGAACCGAGGTACCAATCGGATGGAAGAACGGAGGGAGACCGCCATGACCTTGCAGGCCCATTATCCCGATGCCCCAAAGCCTCCATTAGAACCCGGACACGCCCAGGATATAATATATCTTGGTTACAACCTGGCCTTGAGTGTTGAAGTGTCGAGAAGTTTGATTACGAATCGGTTCATCTGCGGTTCTACATCCGCCGCTCTAGTGTGCATGATCCACGTCCTTGAGATAGTTCAGTTGGTTCAGTTGAAGGGGCGGTTCATTTGACACGACCGAAACCGCAGTACTAAGACTACATCTCGCGGTATCTGCTAATAGTTTCAAGCTTTCCAAGGTTGGGCTGATCTCGACGTCAAACCTCAACTGTCTGGAGATTTCATGCTAATATCTAATCCGGGTTGGAAGGCCTTCCGTTTCATCTGTGCTGGCACCCATGAAGTCGTAAACTTTTGAGAATCATTAGGACTCATAATTAAATCAAATCAGAGTCTTATTTGGATAGAGTGGTGTTAAATGTAGTTAAATTCAACCTCCACTATTCCCCAGATCCGGGGCCGCCATCATGCTGAGTCATCTCGAAAGTGCCCTCCAGGGCTGGGGACATCAACTCGTGGACGCCACATCTTCAACTTACAGCTACCACACTGTTCTACTTCAAGTCGCAGCCATGACTGTAACCGCATTCCCCTCTGAGGGTTCTCCAGATCTGGCCCTTCTCAACGTTGCCCGCCTGTTCACCAGACTCGAACACAACCTCCTCTCCCCGGGGACAGACCGGCGCTCAATCCAACAATCAGAATACCAGCGTATGCGCGTGAACAAGGTAAGCATTTACTCAACCTTTCCTGAAGCCTTTATTTCAAAAGAGAAATATACCCGAACTAGGAATCTGACAAATACTACAGAACGTTGAATACGCCCGCTCACTCCTCACCCAACTCGAGCGCTCTCTCCCACAAATAAAGCCTCTCGACCGCAAACACGAAGCACAAGCCGAGATCGCACGCGACAAACAGCTCCTGAAGCGTATACAGATCATCTTAGACGAAGAAGACGCCAAAGCCGAAGCGAAGCAAGATGAAGACGACGAGACCGAAGATGACGACGAATGGAAGGAGCTATTCTCCAAGCCTGTCGTTGAGAAAACTATCTCACCTGTATCGCAACCAAAAGACCAGCAGACACCGACACTGTCATCAGATTCCCAACGAGAAGTAAAGGGAACAAATGAAGCGCAGCAAACTCCGAGTACATCTACAACAGCGATTACAACAACCCCAACACCGCACCCGTCATCAACAACCCAGCTAGTACCCCCAACCCTCCGCAACCGTCACACAACTCAACCCGCACCGCCATCCACCGAAAAAGCAGCGGCGACGGGAAGCAGTACAACCAAGATCTCTGAAACGGAAACTGAACTGAGTACCCACAGACTGGAACAAGAAGATCTAACTAGCTCCCTTCTATCACTCGCTTCGCAATTGAAATCATCCTCGCAGAATTTCCAGTCGACTCTGGAGGGTGAGAAGTCTGCTTTGGACCGCGCGGTGTCGGGCATCGACCGCACGAGTGCCACAATGGAGGCGGCGGGGAAGAGGATGGGAATGCTGCGCAAGATGACGGAAGGGCAGGGGTTGTGGGGGCGGATGATGCTGTATGCGTGGATTTTCGGGCTATGGGTTGTTGCTATTTTGATTGTTTATGTTGGACCGAAGTTGAGGTTTTGAGAGGCGTAATACGCCGCTGTCTCGATACTTTTACTGTCTACGGTAGTTGATTCTATCTTTATGCGTCGATACCCTTATTTCGCTCTGCATAGATCAAGTGCTTATACATCTACATAACCACAAGATAGTTATCCATATCTACAACCTGGCCATACGAATATAAAGATGCGCATCGAATACTGTATAGAAACTGTGGAATTAAGAGTCAGAACCCTAAGAGCCAATGACTCTGTGAAATAACCCAACGACCGGCCTGGCATGACACATGAGAAGGAAACGTTCAAATCCGCGGATCCTGCCATTTCCCCGTGCCCAATGCCCGGATGGACGCTCTTGGCTTCCAACGGACGCAAGACCAAGGAAAATGATCGGGGAAGATATGGTTACATACATAAACAAGAAATGGGGGAGAGATGATAGGATATCCAGCATTCAAATCAGATGGGTTGAAAAAAAAGTTGAAAGGAAATATGAAAGAGAAAAAAGGAAGGTAGACACTCCTTGTTTTCTGTCGTGGATATCAGGAGTGACAATAGAAAACACAAAAACCGGCTAGAGATCGTGTCAAGGGCGGGGGAAATTAGAACGGAGAATAAGAAAAAGGAAACGCAAAAGAGAATCAACGCCGGGATCTTGAAACGAGGCTTTTTGACCGGATCCGATCAGCCCCGGTTAATAAAAACATGCGATCTAGGTTCGACACACTTCCAATAGGTTCATTAGATCAAACCGCAGAGCCGAAGGTTCTCTTGGATGATGATATCTGTGAAACGTTAGTGATACGTTGTACAATAAGGTTGGGCTGAGCTTACCGTTCACTGCTGCCATGACGAAGCGAATTTGACTAGTGTCAGTAGCGCAGGTGAAGTGAGTGTAAATCTGCTTTTGCTCGGCCTGGTTCAGGGAAACGAAACGGTTGAGGATGTAGTCGCAAGCCGCGGAGTAGTCGGCACCGCCCTCGTAATCGGGGAAGTAGTTCTTCATCGGGCTAACGGGAAGCTTCTCCTTGAAACGATCGATCTTGTTGAGGAAGAGAATGATGGAGGTCTTGACGAACCACCGGGAGTTGCAGATGGAGTCGAACAGGGTCAGGGCTTCTTGCATACGGTTGACGGTCTCGTCTTCGAAGAGAAGCTGGTCGTACTCGGAAATGGCGACGAGGAACAGAATGGTGGTGACATTCTCGAAGCAGTGAATCCACTTCTTACGCTCGGATCGCTGGCCACCGACGTCGAACATGCGGTATGTGAGGTCACCAATAATGAATGTGGTCTCGGTGATACCGGTGGTCTTGACACGAGAACGGAGAACATCCTGGTCAGTAGGGAGGTAGTCGGGCTGAGCAATGCGCTCAATGGAATCGAAGTAGCTAAGAGAAAATGAGTTAGTCACGTTGCAATGCGACAGCCGAGCGGTCACTACTAACTATTTGGCAGAGTCGTTCAACTGGTATTCGCGCGAGCGCTTGAAGCACTCTTGGACACCAGTATCGCGCCACAGCTGGGCAATGGCGTTTCCAACCTCGGGGGGAATACTATCGCCCTCGATCTGAGCGGGCTGCATGAAGATGGTCTGCACGTGGTACTCGTGGCGCGCATCCTCGAGGGGGAGCTCGAGGGACTCCATGGCCTCGAGAATAACCCGCATCGACTGAACGGTGTTGCTGTAGATGATTTCCTTGAATGATTCACGCTCGTCACGGGAGTATCCGCCCTCATGGATAAGCTTCATCTGCTTCAGAATCGTGGACTTGCCCGACTCTCCGGCTCCTGTATCCCAAGTCAGCCATAATGCCATATTCCCATCAAGGAGTGGATCATACCGAGGAGCAACATCTTGATCTCGTTTCTTTGCATCATCTTGTCGCGCTTGAGCTGGTTCTCAATCTCCTCATTCCGCGCCTTCCCCTCCTTATCTTCGGTGCTCATTCCGCAACCCATTTTGACGGTATGAAGTCGCAATCAACGGTGTGAAAGTGGATGGAAAAAGGTTCTTCGTATAGGGATATTCGGTCTGTTACAGGGGCTGTCCAAGTCGGAACAACGGTCAGCAAGCTGGAATAATTTCATCCGAGGGAAATATTGCATTGATCTCGAGGGGGACGTTGCATAGGTGGTACAAGCACTGCCGAGTAGAGGCAGACGGCGTTTCAGAATTGGTGTAAGCATCCCGACGCAAGGAGTCGGAAACCAGAACAAATAGCCAATTGACACGATCAAAGAGAGGGAAAAAAGAAATAAATGGTACGAACCTGAACGTCCTTTTGCAAGAAAAATGAAGGACCGGCAAAAGGGTATAAATGAAAGAAAACGAAAAGAAAGGAAGAATCAGAAGAATTCGAATCGAATCCAATCTGGAGAAGAGAGAGAAGGGACAAAAGTTCACAAAGGTAAGGGGCAAGACTGAGGGGGAAATTGGGAAAGTTTCAGAGAAAGGGGATACACTGGTAATACGACAGACAATGGGTGATTAGGGGGAGAAGTACGGATTACGGAGTACAAGATGGGTACCTCGTATGTAATGTTTTGATTACTCGAAAAATACAGAACAATACCCGGGAGTTAGCTGATTGGGTGAAGAGTCGGGCCAAGGGCCCATTCAGCCCCTTTTGCTTTGTGATCGTATTGGTATTCTTCCTTTTTGATTCTATTTCAAGAGGATATTACGGAGTACGGAATATTTAGATGCATATATGGAACATTCTGATTCCGACACTTTATCTAGAACTCCGTATAATCCGTATAGAGCAGAGTATACCCTGCATGTCAACATACAGACTCTTGGAGGCGTGCAGATCTTGTGGAGAGCAATATTAGCATATCAAACAACAAAACGAATCATATTTCAAGATGCAATGCTAGAAACAATAGCAACGGTAGTTGTAATTCGGCTCTTCAATGGGGCTAAGGAGGGAACCCCTAACACATGACTACACCTTGCAACATGTATACTATCGTACTACATATACTCTCGACTCCGTTCTCCACACGATTGTTCCATATAGTCTGACATCTGACCTCATCTCAACAGGATCTCGTCTCAGATCACTTCAATCTGAGGGAAACAAAGAAACAAAGCAAAAGGCCAGCGCTCTTGCCCAATCAGACTAGTCTACGCCTCATCCTATGCATCCATGTCTAGTTCTTTATCACTTCTTTGAAACATCTTTGAGCCACAATAGTACACAGAGAGACCCCAAAGGTATCCGGCAGTCTGCACATCCGTGGATCCTCCGTTTTATCTTCAGTGGAGCCCACAGTCCACCTAAGCGACTATTCGAGAATGGCGAGACACTGACTGTAACACCTTTAATGTTAGTACTCAGTCCTTCCACTAGTACGGAGTAGATTCAGCAAAAATTATGTCCGGATGATCGGAAAGGAGGTTAGGGCCCCAATGTCAGATTTGGCTGAAAAAAATGAAAGTTTGGGGGATTTCCTCTTTTCCACTATTTCCAATCGCCTTCCATGGTTCTTTCCTAAAGTTCTGCACTAAATGACCCACTAGCTAGTGCTTCTAGCCGTTTTCAGCCGCCAACCTTTGAAATTTGCCGCTATTTTGCGTGAGGAGTTGATATTGGACTCCACTTATTCCCTCGTGGCAATGGAGACTATTGAAGTCCGCTCTGGTGAGTCTGGTCTAAACGCAGTCCTGAGCTCTGAATTCTGAGATTTCCCTGGGTCATGGGCTGAGCTTATTAATACAATATATGAATATTACAATTTTGTACGGAGTAAGAGTATACGTATAACTTACGGAGTATAGCTTTCTAGACTAATTTTGCAGGGTAACTATGTAGATCATCTCCAAGGGTCTCCCTGCTTGCCGCTATCTTTCCCTGTAAACCCTTTACCAATGAAATAAACCCACAACCCGCGCCACAGGAATACCACCTCCACTGCGCCACTCAGTACCCCCAAATAACTCGACCTCTCTATATTCCAATACTGCGACCAGGATACATAGCAGCGAACATTGACCTGTATTACTGTATTCACCCCTAAGTTCCGACTATTCACATCCCAGCGCTCACCAGCATTCTACTTGCTAGTGTGTGGGGATGGACTATGCCTTGCGACCGAGTGATGATGAATTCAGCAACTTGAAGGTCCTCTAGCAAAGTCTTAAGATATGGACTTCATATCTAGGTGCTGGGAACAAATAACTCTTAATCTCTCGGAAAGCTATCAATATGAGACCTCTCGTCATTCAGACTCCGGCTTTCCTCGGTGATGGCCTTGCTTCACTTGACAAGACAATCTCGTTCGCTTGCGAGGGAAAGGAATCACAATGCTACACTACGGATCGGATAGAGAGTCGATTGTTGAAGTAGAGCAATCGATCTACGGTTCTGATTGACATTGGCGACAATGCCTGTGAGGAAGAATTCCTCTGGTGACGGGCCATCTTGTGTTCTGAGGATGGTTGGGATGCGACTATGAAGTATTAGGGCCATGTCTATCTGTCATCATGGTCGATGTTGTCGAAGAGGGCGGGATTTACCTTACCCACTAAGCATTTGTCAGGCGCTAAGTCACAACCACGCGTTGAGTCGGAACCACCATTGTCGGTAATTGCTCTTGACTAGCTCTCTCGTTTCTTTGCGCCACCGGGACTGGTAATGGTGAATTAATACGCCGTGATGAGGAATACCGGCTGTCATCCATCATTGCGTGCGAAAGCCATGACTGACCTCCAGTCTTGCTTAGAAATCTTTTGAGAACACACAACTTTGCGACACAGATCTGGCGGTCCGCCAGCACGCTCCATGGGGTCATTGTCTAGAATACGAGTCTTCGGAATGGATGTTGACAAATGGTGATTCCATTCGGGACTTAGGAACAGCTAACAGCAAGTCCCCTGACCAAATACCGCATTCCATCCCCAACATGACATGGCACCTGCCGCACTGAGCAATTACAAATATGATCTCTGCTCGCAAATGCTCTCGGAAGGAGCAACCCGTGAGATACATGAATGGTTCAGATCAACGGTTATCCTCTTGCCGAAAAATCCATGTACCAGCATTCATGGATTGATTTGGAAAGTACCGACGAAGAAGAGCCCGATGACATGAAGAATCGGACGTGGAAAAGCACTGGGGTCCAAAGAAAAAGCACGTCGAAAGCTGGCTTGGCGGAATCGAATAGCGCTTATGAGTCAAGTCAGGTCGTGCCTCATTCCATTCACATCTACGCCGTCAGCTAGATAATCGTGACATTTGGACCAGATGGCATAACTATGAAGGAAGTCTCTCTCTGCCAATAAAGCGGGGCCAAAAAGAAAAAGAGAAAAATAAATGGCAGAGATAGTTGCTAATTGGACAGCTAACCGCCGAGTCCCACTGGGTATGTATGTGTCCTAATGCCACAAGAATCCACCGCTTCCATACTGTTGCAGACGGGCGCCAAAACTCTGTCTCTAATTGAAGAGTTCGACGGTCAAAATATGGGGAAGTGGAAAGCGGTACACGATTTTAGGGGATATACTCCGTATTGAAGTCGGAAAAAAGTATAGCGCTTGAGACAGTCGTGAAGCTGTCGACCTATCTCAACAAGGTCATATCTGAGAAGACTACTAAATATACCATCAAAAAGTCTACCGAAAAGACATCACAAGGCCGACCGACTTTTTTTGTTCTAATATATTACCTAGGTAGGTCTATATGTAGCTATAAATGCATGGGTATAGTAGCCTAGAAATTTGGGCAACGAGAGCGTCTTTATAAAGGCCAGATGGCGATTCCATCGTGATTTTGTTAGCTAGAGGGCGCACAGGGGAGGAGCCGAAACGATCGAGGCTTTGGAGAAAATCGTTGCTGTCAGAGGGGCGTTGGGACGGCGATGGCCTGACAACGTGGTAATTGGTCAAAAAACCTCTACGAACGACATCATCGTGAGTCAATGTCACAAACCCGCCAAGCGTTCCGGCGTTTTTGTCTCCTTCAATTCCGATCGAGGATCCCATTCGGGGAACTTCATACTCTCTGACGTTGTGTGTGAACGGAATGCCACCTCCATTCAGGAATGACATAGCGCCGGGTAAAATTCGATGTCAAAGCTGTCCGCTTGTATGTGTGGCAAGAGTCGAAATATGACTTGAAGTCGCAGCTCAAACCAGTTTGTAATCGTCCATAGCTCCACAAATACCAGAATAGTCGGCTGCGCCTTAGCTTCACTCGGACTAACGTTGAAGGGGTATAGTATATTGAAGCTAGAACCAAGTGTCTGCTTTAGGATAGCGACAAGATTCTGTATGACTCGGTCGTATGCTTTGATAAGAGGGTAGTTAAAGGCGATAGAGAAAAATGTCGGGTAGTGGCAGAGCTTATCGTTCGAAATTTCGATATGTACTCTGACCTTATATTAGCAGAAGAGGCTTAAGATCTCGTCTTTGATAGGGCTAAGAGGAGAGATGTTTAGAGTCGAGGTATCAAGGAGGACACTAAAGATATTAACGGGGGTGTTACTATGGGGATACCTACCTAGGTAATATATTAGAACAAAAAAAGTCGGCCGGCCTTGTGATGTCTTTTCAGTGGACTTTTCAGTGGACTTTTTGGTGGTATATTTAGTAGTCTTCTCAGATATGACCTTGTTGAGATAAGGTCGACAGCGGGAAAAGGCGACTTTTCTACGTAAGTATAACCTTTGATAATGATAAAACATACTCGCACATATTGTTGTCTGTTTCTTTGGAATCACCACTCTGTGAGTCCCAATGGGACAAAAATCTTGGTTCCATAGATCTAGATAACCATGGAAAATAATATAAAGGACCCACGGAATCGATCGATCTAATTTTTCGGGTATTCCCCACCTTTAAGAAGGTACGCTTCCCTCCCCCCGGGCTTTTTATCATCACAAACATGTCGCACGAAATGTCTCACATGGGCCCTCGGGGTATGTAAATATATCAATCGTTTTATACAACTGCAATCGCTAACAATATCAGCCTTCAACCACGAGAACAGCAGCGACGCCGAGGCGGAGTACGATCGGCTCCGCGACCTCGCGCGCCAGGAAGCCAATAAGCGCGGACAATGTTTCAGCCGGGTATGCGACCACCCAATTCCACCCGCTCGAATACAATCGCAATCGCAGTTCTAGTTATTCCATCAGCGCTAACATTCCCACCAGTCGAAGGAAGCCTATGCGAACGGCGATGGCGCCGGCGCCAAGCAACTCTCCGAGGAGGGAAAGGCACACGGCCGCAAGATGGAGGAGTATAACAGACAAGCGTCTGAGTTTATCTTCCGTGAGAACAACGCAAGCGGGCGCGTTGAGGCCGATACCATCGATCTGCACGGCCAGTTCGTCGAGGAGGCTGAGGAGATCCTGGAAGAACGGATCAAGTACGCCAAGTCGCATGGACAGAACCACCTTCATGTGTAAGTCGCCACACGCCCCAGGATGAATGAGAGCCTTGTGCGCTAGAATTTACGCGACTAATACGGCTTCGCGCTATAGTATCGTCGGAAAGGGAAACCACTCCGCGAATCACATTCAGAAAATCAAGCCGCGCGTCGAGCAGGTTTGTCGTGAATTGGGGCTCCAGTATGCCACCGAGGATAACGCCGGTCGCATCTATGTGAACCTGACTGGTGGTGAGGCTGTCATGCCTCCATACAACGGTCACCAGGGCGGCTCGTCTGGGTACCCTGGCCACCAACAGGGACACCAGCAAGGCCACCAACAAGGCCACCACCAGGGACACCAGCAGCAAGGACAGCAACAGCCGGACGAGCTCGAGGAGCTTGCCAAGAAGGTGTTGCCCAAGGTTCTGCGCAAGCTCGAGAAGGCTTGCTGTGTGGTTATGTGAGCTTGTATTTTTGGTTTGTGGGACATATACATAGACGTATAGCTGTGTTTGTGGACGGATATTGTTTGAAGTTGGTGACATTTTGCGCTTTGGGTTTCTTGTTTCTAGACCATCTACCATCTAAGTAGAGTTCAAGTTTTGAGTTCAGCCTTGACACGACTCATGGCAGGGATGTGGTTATACCCTTAGATGAACATGCACATTGTTCTTAATGAAACTACCATTTACTGTCGTGCTGGGTACAACTCTTTCAACACTTTAAATCTCCAGACCATGTAAAAATAAATCATATCATCGTGAGCGCATAGCTACATAGCCAACTTTGTGAAAATAAGATAACTAGCACTGGGTATATCCAACAAAGACACGACCTACAAAATCATACCAAAAGAACAAAGAAAAACTAGCACGCATTGGGATCTGATAGTGTCGACTCCACAATCTTTTCCACAATAGCACGCACCATCTGCCCATCACCGGCTCCATTTATTTTCGGCGTAGCATCGATCATCTCAATCAACGCGAACGCCTGATCGCGCAGATCTCTGACAACCCGACTGGTATGCGCAAAGCTGCCTGTATTCTTCATATACTGCACCGCATAGCGCTTAACCTCCACATCCTTGGTATTTTGCTTGAGGATATTGATCAGCTGGTGATTGGACGGGTTCGAACGAATGCTATGAATAATCGGGAATGAGAATTTGCCCTCGGTGAGATCCTCACAGAATCCCTTATTCTCCGTGTACACCGTATTCGACAGGTTGAGGTAATCGTCGCAGATCTGGAAAATCAAGCCCATGACATTTACCAAGGCAACACAGTCCATGCCCGTTGTACTCTCGACCTGCATGAGTTTGACCGCTAGGCGGAAGAGCCCGCCTGTTTTATTGCCGACCATTTCCAGGTATTCGTCTTCCGTCGGGCAGGTCAGCGTGTCGCGCCAGAAGAGATCCATGCCCTGACCCCGATGCAGATTCAGCATTTCCTGGACATATATGTCGATCGCAGTTGGGTTGTTAAGCTTCTGTACTTCTTGCAGCGCGAGGAAATACACATAATTTGCGGAGTTGATTGTTTGCGCTGTTCCGAAGATGTTGTGTGCGACGGGGATGCCGCGGCGGAGGACGGAGTTGTCTTCGACGTCATCGATCCTGGCGCTCACGCCGTCAGCATCGGGGTATATATTGGGCGAGAAGATGGAGGAGGTGTGGGGATCCAAACTCACAACAGCGACGATGTATGCAGCATCGTTACGACTTTGGTGATGATCGCTAGGCTCGCCGGCGGGACCTGCAGCCAGGCGTTGAAGGCGTGGATCAGTTGTCGCCGTATATCTTTCCCTGGGTGCTCGTGCACATAGTCGTACGGACCCATGAGGATCTTATCATTCTTCGACGACCAAGTTCCATCCTTGTACTTGGTGCCGTCCACGCTGGATTTGTTGCGACGATGTCCAGTTTTCGTCGGCTCTTCGTCCATTATCGACAGTTTGCGTCGGTGGGAGGGGCTCCCATTGCCATTTGTTGCATTTGCTGAGCTTGTCCGAGGAGGAACGGGACTTGGGGGTTGGAAAGGTGTTGAGTTCATGATTGTGGATGGGGAGATGGAGGGGTTTGGTGAAGGCGGCAGAAATACGTGGGGAGCTAGTGAGCTCCGGGGCTACGTAATGTAATTCGGGTACGCAAATAGTAGAGATAACATCAACAGCTTACAACTTATGATCATATACGCCATACAATGACACTATAATATAGTTATCGTAAAGCGTTTATGCATGCACGTGGACATGGTCCTGGTATGTACAGGTCAGGTGCCGAGGTCCATGACTAATCGGGATCGCCATCTATCCACCTGCATGGATCCATCCATGTGGACGAGATATTACGTTGTTAAGAGGCAGTTCTAGAAAAGCAAAGCATACCAAACTAGACAAGTAAGAGGCTCAATATTTAGGAATTATATCGTTATATTTTTTTCAGTATTATTCATTCCTCTAAGTATACCATACAAAATACTAAGTAATATAATGCTAGGGATCAGCCCTACCGGAGGGATGTGCTACCTCACTATAACAGAAAGGTTTCCGAAAGGTGCGAGAAGTAAATAAGATGTGTCAATTAAAAGCAAATATGATTTGATAGGTCATAAGCGCTAATTGCTCTCCAATTCAAGGGATAGTAGGTATAAGATATAGTTCATGTTCACTATAGCAACAGAGGCAAGGTCAAGATAGATATATATCTACGCACTCAATAGAAAATCGAGTTCTAGCTATAATTAAAATTAAAGTCGAATTTAACGCCAGGGTTCGATCTAAAAAAAGGAGCTAAGAGTTCGTTTGATGTGATGAGTTCCTTGGTTATTGACCAGTTACCTAGGGCAACGATGCTTTATTTACCGCCCAACCTTGGAAAAGGGCCCTGACCTCATCCACACCACGGACCTTTCTCCACTTACATTTTATTTAAGAATGTTCACTTGCTTTTCTTTTTTTGATGTCAAAATCTCGCATCTGATTTATCAATGGAGGCTCTATTAGCCCATTCGTTTGATTACCTTTCCTCATACGAGCCTAGCAAGATCCGTAAAGGATTACGCCAGGTCGAGGGACTACTGGCACAAATATGTCTATCGAAACCTAAGCCCGTCTCGGACCGGAGATCGCGCTCCCCCGAAACCCAGCCCGTGCCAAAGACCTTGTCAGACTTGCGAGATGATCCAGCATTTCGGGAATTTTCCAAATTGCAGGAAAGCTTCCAATGGAACAGTATGTCTTTGGAAATTTCTATCCTAGACTGTTGGCTAACAATATGACTTCAGTCGCTATGCGCCTAGTATCTTGCCTCGAACACCTTCTAGGTCGAGGAAGCAACGGCACAAATGATATGTTGATCGTCTGCACGTTGGATCTAATCCAAGGCGCTCTCCTCCTCCATCGCGGCTCGCGCACCCTCTTCGCCCGTGAGATTTATATGAACCTCCTCCTCGACCTACTCGACCCGATCAACTGCCCAGCCGTGCAATCAGCAACCCTCCTCACGCTCGTCACAGCCCTACTTGACTGCCCATCAAACACACGAACATTCGAGGACCTAGATGGCCTCCTCACCGTCACATCACTCTTCAAGCAACGCGCCACCTCTCGGGAAGTCAAACTCAAGCTTGTCGAGTTCCTTTACTTTTACCTGATGCCCGAGGCCATCATCCCAGCACCCATGTCTTCCCCGCCAGGTCTGCAGCGCAGCCCAAGCAAACTCTCCTCTGCACCCTTCTCGCGCAGTGCGCATTCCGCCGCAGCAAGTGCTGCGAGTAAAACAAACCGCGATACACGCACGACGGACGAGAAGCAAGCTCTTCTGGGGAGGTATCTCAATAATGTGGAGGACCTCGTAGAGGACCTGAAGGAGACGGCTCCGTTCGGAGCAACTGTTTACTGAATGACTTGACTGGTGACGATTGACTCACTACTTGATGACCAAATATGCGCGATGTCCGCTGCGATCACTTGGTGCTTTTTTTTTTTCTTTCCCTTTTTTCTTTTTCTATTTTCACTTCTCCCAGCCTCTTTTCATCTTCTTCACGAGCGTTTGACTTATGTTCCGTCCGGTACGGCAATTATGCGATTCCTTGGACTGTTGTCTCGCCCACTTTTAGCCTGTCTTTTGTGCTCTCTCTATTTTTTTTTTATTTTTTTTTTTTTTACTCCACTCTGGAAACCTTGTCGACCTACCTAGTGTGCTCTCTCCCCGGGCTTTCCCTTATCGCTTTCCTTGTCTCTTTGATGGTGACATGAATGTGTACGATTCTTCTCTGTGACTAAACCGTCATATACTACTGATGATCAACATTTCTCCGTAATCTCAATGTAGGCTTAGACTTCGTATCCTCGGTTTTAGAGCTACCAGGCATCTCGGTTATTCCCGCTGTTGCTTTTCTCTCCATCAATCTAAATTTTATATAAATGAGTCAACGTTCGTATATGACTCAACGCCGCACGGACTCTTATCGTCTACATTATATACTCCATGTTCGATCTTCAAAGTGGAGAAAAGTCCAGTATTAGTGTGGAACAAGTGCCTATAAATCCCCGCAACCCCATTGCTATGGAGGCTTTCCACCATAGCACTTGATATTCGAAATGCAGACAATCCAGGAATTACTGGCTACGAAGCCATCAAACTCACAGCAAACGCAATATGTGGACACGGTAGAAGCATACGATAAATGGGCAGAGGTGGGTATATCTCCAGATCTGTTGTAATCTATACCAGCGACACAATACACCCAACATATAAATCATATAACTAACTCAAAACAGGTCTACGACACAGACGGCAACTTCCTCCAACGCCTGGACACAATCGAGATGCGTTCTCTACTACCCCAATTCATCGACCGGGTAAGCAAACGTTTCCCAGTTACAGACCCAGAGACAACCCGCCCCACCCTAGTAGATCTAGGCTGCGGCACTGGCCGAAACACAATCCAGCTCCTCTCCGCCCTATCCACAGCCGACAAAGCCGGGTACTTTACCGTAATCGGACTAGATGCCTCGCGCGGGATGTTAGATGTGGCGCGGACAGCGACACGCGAGTATGCGGAGAACGCAACGCAGACGCCGGATGTTGAGCTCGGTATTTTTGACCTCCTTCAACCTGAGGTTTCAATGACGCAGCTTCCGTCTTCCTTGCATGGAGCGGATGCCGTGGGTGTGATCTCCACGCTGGTCCTGGAACATATTCCGCTTGAGCAGTTTTTCGCGGCTGCGGCGGGGATTATGCAGTCTGGTGGGTATTTGCTTGTGACGAATATGCATGCTGAGATGGGGATGCGGAGTCAGGCGGGGTTTACAGATGAGAGAGGGGTTAAGGTTCGGCCTACGAGCTATTGTCATACTATTCCTGATGTTTTGGTTGCGGCTAAGGAGGCTGGGTTTGAGGTTGAAGAGGTCGTTGGTGCAGGTGCGGATGGGGTTGTTGTTAGGGGGGTTGATGAGCAATTGGGGGTTGTTTTGGGGGCGAGGGCGAAGAAGTGGGTTGGAGTTAGGGTTTGGTTTGGGGTTTGTTTTGTTAAGAGGGGCTGAGATGGATATGCTAATTGGGGGAGATATTATTCTTCTCGAAATAAATGAGTCCAAATCCAACGCCATATTTGCTGTTATACATTTAGAATAATTTCAGTAGTCTGTCACGGTGTTGTACAAGATTGGGATGCTCCCTGAGTAGTTGTCCTAGCCGGTTCCGTTTCCAGCCTAGGGTATCGTCCAGGATCAGATGCGTATAGGCGAAGACGCTGGCATCGAAGAGGCCTGGGTTTGGCCGGCCGAAAAAGTGCTCGTCCTCACCGAGCAAGGTGGACAGCGCCTCGAACGCGCCACCCGCATCGCCTTCCAGATCAGCGGCATCGATGTAGCGCGACGTCTTGAGAAGCTCATCGCGCGCGGCTTGTTGGAGCTGGTGGCCTAGAGCGGCGCGCACAATCGAGTTTGAGGTTGTTGGATTCACATAGAGCCGGCGTGCGACGGCGTCGAAGTTCTCACTGTCTAGATAAAGCATGTATAACTATGCACATCGGTCAGCTCCTTAAGAGTCTAGGGTTTGTTTCTGATGGGATCTCTAGCCTACCCAAGCGTTGCGTATCCGATTGTCCAAAAGCGAGGCATAAACCTCGAACCGCAGGTTCAATTGTTGTTCTTCCTCGCAGTGAACTTGTTCAATGGCCCACTTTTGGAGCTTGTGTGAAGGGATCGGATTTGAGGCGTCTGCAGGCAGCGAGGGGCGGAGAAAAGGCAGGGAGCCAGTTGGTGAGGCATGGTTGTTGGACGATATGATCTCAAAGTCAATCCCAACGAATTTCAAGTATGCCTAGAGCGAGACCGATCAGTATGGTTCCGACAGGGACGGCTACACGCGTCCTTGCATGTGAGTATGCGAGTTTAGATAGCACAAACCTGCCATTTGAGACATTGAGGATTGAATGAGGGTCGGCCATGTCGTGCGCCAGATGCGTCGGCAAAAACATAGAGCTGGTTGACATTGTCGTGCGGCCGAAGGCGTTGAGGGATCTCGTTGGCGGGATAGGTAGTCAACGGGAACTTGTCGAAGAGGCGCTTAAGAGGAGCGGGGATTGTAAAGAAAGGACTGGCATTGCGCTCTTCCGGAGGGCTATCGGGTGCTTTGGGAGGCATTGTGGTGGTCTGAAGTCCAAAGTCGCCAAAGTCGCCAAAGTCCCAAAAGTGTCCAAAAGTGCCGTCATCGAAACAATTCCAACGCGCCACACTCAAATAGGAAGGTATTGCCTTACATAATATGGCCAGGTACCGTACCTCCCCGCACCTTTTTCCCACCTTTTCCCCCTTGCAGCCTGAACTTGCTGTGATCTATAGAGTCGGATCATATGTACTCGGCGTCTTAGTGTTTATTTCATCTCTTGTGGTATTGCTGTTGCGATCACACATCAGTCCGGTCTCTCCCGCTTTGAAGAATTTAAAACCTCCACTTTGCTCCGTCTCGACTCCACCTCTCCGATCTCTCGAACATCATTTTGACAATACGTGCATACATATGGCTTAGTTAGCTACAAAATACGAGGCGTCTGACGGACCTAACGGAAACGGGCGATTGCATGCGCGGGGTATCGACTAACCGTTGGAGTTCTGCGACACACGGTTGCGACATTACGAATCAATCTTGCGTCCCACCTTAACTTCGACGGAATCATACATATCTCTTCACCAACATGCCTCTCGATGAAGAAGGTGCCAAGTGGTCCTGGTAGGAATATATATCGTATATTATCAATGAAACCGTGCTAAACAGTTACACTAGTGAACCATGCATTCGAGGTCACCGATCGTCAAAATGCCAACACTTCGATAGACTCATGATGAAGGTCCCTAAAGCAGGGCGTCCTCTTGCAAAATGTCCCCACCCGAAAGGAACTTGCAGCTGTCAGAAGACATATGCTGTGATGGTCCGCATTCCGAAAGGTATAGATATCTTTGTCGCCAAACTACACATGTGTTTGCGTTGTACTGACTTGAATTCAGGCTCATCATGCTTATGTCGACCGCTCTATAAAGTTCCCATGGATGCCAATGACTCAACTCAGTCTCCCCCATCCTCCATGGTTTCCACATCGTCGCCAGCTCCGGGCAAAGTTCAAAAGTCTGGAAGACGACAGAGTACTATGCAAGCAGCACCTGAAAACATAGCACGGGCATTGGAAAATATGCCAGACAAGGTTAAACTCGAGGATGGGACACCGAACTTGATTTCAGACTTCTCTTCACAGCTCGGGGTAGATGGTTCACACACATCTCCCGCTGCGTCTGCACACAACCAAAAGGCACCATCGCCCACAGAAACTACTAAGCAAGGCTCGCAGTCTCCCCAAGTATCAGGCTGCTGCTCTCAAAAGCAAAAGCCGAAATCGCCCACCCCGACCCCAGTTCCTACTGCGGCTGTTGCTCCGGCTCAGAATGGTGGATCTTGCTGCGGAGGGTCTCGCCCTTCCACGACAAACCAAGCCATGTACTCACAGGCTGACCAGCAGCAATTCCAACAACCTCTTGCTTGGGGTGATCAGAGTTACATGCAATTCCCCGTGCCCCAAATGTCCCCATGGCAGAATTCCTCAATCCCCACGCCTGGAGACTACATGCATTCCGCCATGCACCAAGCACATTCCCAACAACCAAGCCTCCATGATGGGTATATGGGGATGATGCTGCCACACTCTCAGCCGCAAATACCCCCAACAGGGATTTCATACGGTGTTACTTCGCCGCCGTCCATGGCATACTCCAACCCCATGAGCGGTCTTGGAATCACACAGCCATCCATGGGTCCATACATGCTAAATAACATTGAGCCCTCCTACGATGCCCCGCCAGGAGGCGATCCTTGTCACGACTGTAGATGCGGAGAGGACTGCCAGTGCCTTGGCTGTGCTGCTCATCCATTCAATACCACGACACGGAAACATGTCCAAGAGATGGGTGCTATAATCACCTCCAACGGCGATGACAAGAGTCCGGAAGTCATCAACCCTTACCAAGCCTCGCCTTACCATGGAGGTACCCCTTCCACCCCATTCCCCTACTTCATGCAAAGCACTCCTTCAATGGACCATGGCTTCCAGCCGATTCCATTTGATAGCTATTCGGACCCAAATTCCACCCTAGCCAGCGGTTACTCCTCGCCTCTGTCGGCAAATCACCAACTGAACCAGCAGTTGATGCATCCTTCTGAGTATTACACACTGGAGTACCCAGTCGGGCTACCAAACGCCTGTTCTGACACCACGGGAAGCTGCCAATGCGGCAGTGACTGCAGCTGTGTCGGCTGTCTTACACACAGCGGCCACAACGGCCTCTCTCTGGACGCGCCTATCCCTGAGCACCCCATTTCCAACACAGAGGACAAGCAAACTCAACCTTCGCGCCACGCTCCTCACCCAAGTTCCGCTACATCTCAATCTTCGCGGATCCCGGTACTAGACAATGTGTCTGTGCCCTGCCTCAGTCCGCGGACTTTGGAGACTTCCATGATCTAGCTATCTATGGATTGACGATTTCTTACCTTTCTATTCCTCCACTCATTTTTTCCCGCACTGTTTTTGATCTGATCTTGCATGATTTATGATCTCCTATGATACCCTATCTAGAATCTCTGCTCTAGACGGCCACAGTAATAGATTGCCTGTTCGAGTGTAATTGCTTTGGCCAAATTGTTCCAACTATTCCGAATTTTCTTTCTCCTACAGCCTTCTTTAGTGTCTCGTGCATCATTTTTAACTCGTAACTCACCTGGGGCAAGTATTGGCGCAGAATCCAGCGGGTGCCAGGCCACTTTTGCTTACCCTAAGAGCCCAAATTTAGGACATTATTTTGCTGGTATTTATAGTTTTACTCTGAAATAAATATGATGATCATCAATGCATTGGGGGATATCATAATTCTTAAGCAAAAGATAGTGTACAGAGAAAAGACAGCTACTCACAAAACCCCAATCAACCCTTATTCCACTTTCCGAACTTCACATAGTCATCATAGAGTGACTTGAAGACCGCACGACCAGAAACATCCAGCGCAGCGTTAAGCGCACGCATAGACTCACGCGACGTAACATCCAGAGCCGCATACAGACCAGGCAAGATAGCAGCCTTGACCTCCGGGGACAGCGATCCACGCAGCGAGCATTGCGCATATTCCATAACAACATACTGCAAGTACTGTCCTGCAATACGCTTCGCCTTCTTCGTTTGATCAGTCAGGGCTTCACGGGATGCACCAGGCTGGGGACGCAGAACCGCCGAGACGGTAGGGTCGCACAGCGAGGTGAGCAGACGGGTGTAGTAGGTAGCGTGGGAGGCGTCGAGCGGAGCGAGCCAGAATGGCTGCGAGAGGGTGGGCTGGAAGCGGGAGCGGCCGCGCTTTCGGGACCGAGCGAAGAGACAGCCTAGTAGGCGCTGCATGGCGTTTACTACTAGGTGGAATCGGCCGCCGATTTTGAGACGTTGAAGGCTGAGTATGACGCCCATTAGTCGACACAGACGGGTGTAGATTGTTGGTGCGTATTCTGGGGAGATGTGGGGACCGTTTTTGGAGGAGGCGCTTGCGATTGCGCTGAGGATGCCGTCGATGTTGCATTGGGTGAGGCTGCGGGTGTGGCTGCGGAGGAGGAGATCTAGGCATTCGGCTGCGAAGCAGAACTGGTCGATGCTTGTGCTTTGGATGATGGCTTCGGCGAGGGATGTGCAGAGGAGGGAGATTTCGCGTGCTGTGGGGCTCTCTTTGTCTTCGACGGGTGGGAGCGAGGAAACGGCGAGGTAGAGCACGAGGAGTCTGTAGCCGGCATTTTCGCCAGTCAAGCCAAGTCCGCGAACTTCGCAGATTGTTTGTGTGATTTTTTCCACGGTCATTGAACGGAAGCGTTCGGTGGTGGTCCGGATGAACAGCTGCTGGTCCTCGGCATAGAGAGACTGAAGGGCAAGAGTCTCGGCGCATTGCAGGACTGGCTGAGCGATGTTCTCCTCAGGTCCCTTGCTAGCAAGAAGACGGCGACGGATTAATCTTGTTGGTTCGGAATCAACGGTCATTTCCATGTAATTGTCAATCTTGGTAAGGAACTTCTCCACTTCCGCGTTGTTGGTGGCTAGATCTTCGAAATCTTCTAGAGCATCGATGGTCTTGATAATGGTAATTGTCTCCTCCATCTTCTGCTTCCTGCACTGATCCTTGACGTGTTTCATGTCCGCCAACACGAAGTCAAACACTTTTTGGCGACAAGCGGCAAGTTCCTTCTCCGAAAAGGCCGTTTGTAGCTGCTTGCGGTGGACCCAGAGCTCGGACAAAGTTAACCTCAAAAGGTAACAGGCCATGGAATCACGGTCCACCTGCTTCATCTTAGCGGTTTGCTTCGATGCGCGGGCAAAGAGTTTCTTGAACATCTTGTTCCGCTCATCCTCAGACAAAACCAGGAGCTTGGCTGATATCGCGCGGTGCAGGCTTCGGAATGCTTTCATGATCTGGAGGTCGAGATCGCTACCTTCCAATGGCACGGCTCGAGCAGCAGTCCAGATGGGCTCCCAGTCGCTAGTCAGTGTGGCATCACATTTGGGCATGGCAGCCAGTTTCGCCATCATCGTAATCATTCCGATTGTGACTTCGGGAGAACTATCCTGCTGAAGGAGAACATTTTGCAACTTGTTCAAAATTGTGGTCCTTAGACCCCGAGTGATCAACGGGGCCGGAACCCTCTGCAAGCTCTCGATAAGCAGTTTGCGATTGGAGGAGTCTTGCTCGATGCCGTCGTTGAGGAGAAGGGAAAGATCAGAGACAATGAAGGGAGCGTTGAGCATATATTCGTGGCAGACCACGCTCGCCCACGCCTGGAGGAATTTTGCTTCTTCTGCAACAGCCTCCAAGGGCAACGATGACGATTGGTATTGAGCGGCTGCCAGGGAGAGAATATGACGGAACAGACGGGATCGATCCTCAGAAGAAATAAGAGCCCAGACTTCCGGAACCCTGACAAGGGCCAGGAAGTAGGCTAGGCCAAGGGTTGTTTGGGAATCCACAGTATCCGTGCGGCCATTCCAGGATGCCTTCATCGACTTCTTGGCATCCTTGGTTGAGATGGAGGTGATGAGTTCTATGACATCCTTGGTGGCTTTAACGAATGAGGCTAGCTGCTCATCACCAGCGTGTGCCTTGTTTGCGACAATTGAAAACCGGTAAGCCTCCCACGATTCGAGAGGAGCATGTGGGGATTTGCTCAGGTCCTTGTGGTTGCGATGAATAACCTTGGCCGCGACTTCTACCAATGGCATGATTGCACTTGCCATGGTGTTATCGGCGGACTGCAAAGTATTCTCTAGGAAATTCCGAACCAAGCGCCACAGACGCCATCTCCAGTGCAGAGTCTGCTTCGACGATAGGGTAGATGTAATGGTGTCCAGAAGAGATGCCAAGGTCTTTTCCGATTCGGGGAACGTCGGGACTCGGCCACGGAAGCTTGCCTCGACAATAACGAATTTAGCGTAAGACTGAGGGGTCTGAGCAACCTTGCCATTCTCAGCTCGCGTCTCGCTAGCAGCGGTACGCATTTGGGCAGCAATATGCGTCTCGGTGAGGGAAGTTCGCATCAGCTCCGAGTAAGCATCCGCCAACTCATCATCTTCCCAAACCGAGAAGAGACTCAAGTTGCTGTTATCTTGGCGAGCCTCCTCCACAATAACGAGTTGGTTGTGCCACAATTCCATGAAGTTAGGTAGGTCTCTTGCGGCAGCGAAACCTCGCAACAAAGGCAGCACAATCTTGTTCTTGATGATGTTGTATTCCTTCCGTTTCCGAGAACCGCTTTCGCGCCACTGTAATAGAACCTTGTCGAGCAATGCCTCAAGAAGCTTACGCGAATCACGAAGACCGGAGTTTGGTAGGAAAATATCAACACCAAGACTGACAAACAACGCCGTCACGTTCCACTGAACCTTTTCAAGGCCTTGTTCGAAAAGACCAGTGTAATTGGCATGCGCCAGAATGGTGTTAAGAGAAAGACCGACGTTCCGGTCGAGAGCGACCTGGAGGAGTTGTTCCAATACCGAGATAAACTTGGAAGAAAAGGTAGCAAAGTCTTCCTCCTTCGCAGTAGAGAATGCTAGCTCCGCAACAGCGACAAACAAAGTCTCCAACCACGGAGCTTCATGTGTCTGTCTCCGGAACACATCTCTAGGAACAGCACGTACGGCGTTGTCAAACAGCTCGGGGAGAAGCTCAACTGATCGCCAAGGATGCATGCAAGCTTCATTGCTTGCTTTGTTTTCCTTGGCCACAGCAAACTCGCGAATGATCGGCCTGAAAGTATCAGTCACCGGTTTGACTGAGCTCCAATCGGGCTCTTCTTGAGAATAATCGATGCCAGAACTTCCACGCTCAAAGAATGCTGCACGAGCGGGAAGCAATACATGAAGAGCAATAATGCGCTCAATAGCATGCAGGAGAGTGGCCCGCTCGTCGGTGTCAAGTTTGGCGGACCGGAGGCAAATCTGTAGCCTAAGCGCGTGGGCGAAGCAATGCCGTGCGAAAAATTCATTGCTCGACTTGTTGTCCATATCATCTTCACGGTAAGATCTCGATTCCCACAGTTCCACCGCCGCTGGGAACACGTACAGCAGGTGCTGAAGGTCAGTTGTTTTTCCCTCATGCGAGAACTGCTTGGCAGCCACGGCGGCTACTCGGAATGCTCGACCCAGCAGCATAGCGACGGCCTCGGGCTCGCCCCTCAGCGCAAGCTTCAAATGAGAGTTTGCCACACCATCAGTGCCCGTTGTGCGATGCGTAAGTGTGACAAATCCGTGTAGACAATCCAAGGCGCGGATGAAGGCGAGGAAGCATGCTGCGGGGTTCTGACGCTGCTCGTCCACGTCCACGTCCATGGCATCTACATCATTCTCAGTCGTCATTCTCTTGCGTTTTTTCCCTTGGTTTCCGCGGCGATCATCGTGTGTCGGGGATCCAGACAGTGTGTGACTGGACTCGGAGTCGGAGCTTAGGGTTGCAAGGCCGTTTCCCAGACCGGAAAAGATATCGGCTTCCAAATCTTCGAATGTATCACATAGGATCGATAGGAATTTCTGATCCTTAAGAATAGCAGCGAGATTCTTGGGCGAAATCAGGTCGATGAGCTGTCGTAATAAAAGGAAGGAAGCCGCATCCACTCTGTAGTTCTTCCCACTTCTCAGTCTCTTCAATAGCCATCGTAGAACCCATTCCTCCTTCGGGGTCGCGTTTGTTTGGATCTTAACATCTCGGTGAACTTCCGGGTGACTTTCACATAGTGTCAAATCTACACCGATAATTTGTGCCGCTTCATGAATCTGGGTTGTCGGACTGGCGGTGCCCTTCTCGAGGCGGAGTAGAGCCTCTTGCGATGAGCGCGGACGCTGTAGAAGCGCAACACATTAGAATCTCGGGAAAAGACATGGAGTATTCCAATATAACATTTGACTTACCTCCGCAATCAACGGCATCTCGAAAAAAGCAAATTATTCGAGAGAGTGGGTGGTTACTTGTCGAGGGTAAAAAAAAAAGAGACCAAGAAGAAAAACCGCGGATTGCTCCGACCGCCTTTGGCCGAATCGACTCGATCCGCTGAACCTCCCAAACTCCTTGCACTCCACACGCCTCCATTCACCTCTATAATTCCACATCATTGCAACTGGTTCGTCTTCTGCTCGGACCTAGCTCCGGCTCAATTGATGCTTACTTTTACCCCAACAGATTTTTCGCAATGGCTGAATCAAATCAATCCGGAGCGATCGCGCGCGCCACCAAGCCCGTCAGTGAGGCTTTGCTTAACGAGAAGGTATGAGCTAGCTGGGTTCTTCAAATGAGGGAGATCGCAATATAGAATCATACCATTGATATATACAACGATTGTCTGAGTTTGGGAGCAAAAATGAGAGAACCCGCGGCTAACCTTCAACGTCATACAATTAGTGGGACCGCGCCATCTCCTCTGTGATCATCAAGTCCTCCCTCGGTCTGTCTTTCGGTGTTGTCTTCTCAGTCCTCCTGTTCAAGCGCAGAGCTTGGCCCGCGTGGGTTGGTCTCGGCTTCGGTGCCGGACGTGCTTGGGAAGAGGCTGATGGTACGTTCATATCTATCATTCTGTTCCTGGGCTTTACAGAGACTTTGGGTGACGTTGGAGCTTCTGGTCACTGCGATATAAGCTCTGTTGAGCTTGGGCAGAGGTTTATTGCTGTCATCTTTCCAGCATTGAGCTTCGCAGGCCTTTCAGCAGTGGCCCGGCTATCCGCTTTTCCCCGAGCCTGCCTAGCTCCAAGATCCAAACATGACTGACCTAACTTGTACTTAGCCTCCTTCCGCCGCGGTGACTCCCCTATCAGAGATGCCCTGCGCCGTTAAAGAATGACTTCCAAGTGTGTACGATACATTGTACAGAAGGCAAGAGGCCATCAATGAATGTCTTCGGCCCAGAGAAGAATTGGTATATCGGTATCCACCAAACGACCATCAATACCGAACAAGGTATTTCCTTGAGTTTTTTTCCGTCTTTTGAATTAGGAAACATGATTGAATAGAAAACATGTCCTGGCCCTTCACTTTCAACGCCTGCCTTTAGTAAAAAGTCCAGATTTTGGTTCCATAGGAGAACGAAAACATAATTCGATTGAAAAACACCCAAGTTCACATTGATATCTCCGGTAGCTACTCAAAGCATGCAGACGTAGGAGCTTAAATGGCTTCGCAGATATACACGCTACTAGAATTTAGTGTTGGTAGGATCGTAGGCCCTAAAAGAGAATGCTCGGGACATAGAAGGAAATCCTGGGGTGGGCCATCTCTGGAAGCCTAGCAACCCAGGAAGTAGTCAATTGTCATCTCATCGTAAATATATCCCAAATGGGGAAGGTAATTATATAAAAAGCCCGCTTGATGGTAAAAGCACCAGCGAAAATCAATATCAAAAGAAAACGCCGCCCATAATAAACACGCTAGCCCGCTCAAAGCTTCTTATCCGAAGTATTCGGACCCTTCCGAACGTCCGACTCAACGTCATCAGACGACCGATCAGCATACCCATGACCCTCCAAGTCAGCAGGATCCTTCCCGTATGCAACAGAGTCTTCAAAGTCGACGTCAACTTCGTTCCAGGTAGCGCTTGTCGCAGGAATGGGGAAGAACCACGTCAGACCCAAGTACACGGTACCGGAGACAATGAAACCGGTGAAATAATTGATGTTGTAGATATATTGGGCGCCGATAGGGACCTTGCGCCCAACGGCACCGGCGAAGCCAACAATGTTGATCATGATACCGCAGATGTAGGCGGCATAGGCGCGCCAAGAGAAACCCAAGGTATAGTAGTAAGGGTCTGTTTTGCTGGCGCTGTAGAGGGATTTGATGTCCAGGTAGCCCTTGCGGACGACGTAGTAGTCGCAGATCATGACGCCGGCGATTGCGGAGAGGAAGAGGGAGTAGGCCGAGAGGTATGTAGTGAAGTTGTTTGAGCCCGAGACAAGGTTCCACTGGGAAATTTGTTAGTTCGGGTCATTGTTATATGAGGGATAAGTAAACATATGGGAGAACGTACTGGACACATAGCTAGGCCGACGATGGCGCAAATGTAACTACCGCGTCGGACGGTCATGTATCGAGGTAACAAGGCAGTCAAGTCAGTTCCTGCTGAGATTGAGTTGGCGGCAATGTTTGTTCCGAGCTGGGCTAGGGCGAATCCGGTGGCGATGACGAAAATACCGAAGCGCTGGCCGGAACTGGCTCCATCAAGGAATTTTCCGAGGAGATCAAGGGGGTTCCATGTGTAGCCGTCGTTGAAGATAACCGATGAGGAGGAAGACACGATAATGCCAACGAATGAAGTGATGCCAAAGCCAGCGGGAATAGTAAGTAACTGGGACCAGAATGCATCTTTCGGGGTTCGGGCAAATCGTGAGAAATCCGGGTTATTCATAATAAGCGCTGCAAAGTTTCCAATACACGACATGATTCCTTTTACCATCGCCCATGAAAGATCGCTTCCGTGAACGGTGTTGGACTGGTGGATAATCGGCCCGAGACCATGGGCACGGGAGATGGCCCAGGCAAAGAAAGCGATGGCAGCAATAGGAGAATAGATCGCCTTGACGGTGAACAAGTGGCGGACTTTGTGAACGGGGAACCACATGGCTGGAAGCGAGAGCAACCAGAATAAGAAGAAGCTGACGAAGTTCTTGGTATCAACCCCGGCACTGGCAGAAAGGCCATTGTGAAGGTTCCGATAGCTGGGCCAAATAGCCTCGATCATCAAAGTTATACACTGGCCTAGTAATGTATAATAAGTATGCATAGTTTTCACTGTATCGGAAAGATACGTACCTCCAATATAGCTTTGTACGCCATACCAAATGATAGCCATCACCACACGGTTAAGGACGGGCCATAAAGAGCCCCATATTCCGAATGATGCTCGGGCTGTGACGGGAAAAGAAATATGATAGACAGCACCAATCCGTCCAGTAAGACACACGAAACCTGCTGCCACAAAGTATCCAACCCAGACACAGATCCAGGATTGCCACCAAGAAAGACCGTCAACGATCATTGAGGAGGAGATCATCCATGTGTTCTGTATTTCGTATTAGCCGGCACTAGGTTTCTGGCACCATTTAGATAGACTGACGATGTTCAATGAGTCTGCAATCCAGAAAGCAATAAAGTTGATCCATTTCCATTGGCGTCGTTCCGGGTCCACTGTAGTACAATTTCCATTGATCAGTCTTCAAATTCTTTATGGACCACGATGAAGGTGATAGATAGAGGGAAGATTTGAGGTCCCATAAGCTTGGACATTCTTACCTGGGCGTAAATCACTGTTGGTCAACATCATCTGGGCATTGGTGAGTCCCGTTTCTTTCTCTACAGCCGCCTTGTCGAGTATCCATTTGAGTTTGGACATATTTGCGTATGGACTCGTAACAGTTGTCAGTAGAGTAATCAAACTAACTAAGGAAAGGCTATTGTTGGGAAGTTGAAGAAAAACAAGTACAAAGACGGGGGACAACAGTATGATATAACCCTACGCGGAATGATTTAAGAGTATCATCCCGGGATTGAATCCTGTTCTCTCCGAGTACGATAAGGAAGCTGTTGGCTGTGGGGTCTCCAGCCAAGCATATTAGCGTATGCATGGTCTCAGTATACGCCTATCATGATAGTTAGTGACCGAATGAGTTCAAGTAAGAAAGCAAGAAACTCGTTATCTACAAGAATTGGCCTGGGGAATTGTCTCGGGAGCACTAGCCCCACTATTATCCCCACAAAAGGAATATTAATGTAAATTATGATTGGTTAGTCGTAATCTATGCTTTGATATGGAGAAAAGATAGACAACGCTCTTGGCGTTGACTCGATGAGATCGAGTAATAAAATAAATCATGTGATCGGGTCGATAAGTAAGCAGAGACCTCAGGACCTCGGGAGTGTACCTTCCACGGGTATTTTCTTATGGTTTGAACATTGAGAGGTAAAAAGGTCAATAGTACATTCTGAATATGAATAGAAGTAAGCGTGCAAAGGTGTATCATTGAAATGACAGATCAACTGTGAGAGCCTCCTGAAAATGAAAAATCCCGAGTCCCTATGCTATGATAAAACGATGAAGCAGAAGAAGTTGCTCAGGTGAACCAGTCACGTATATATTCTGATATAATGATGGACTCCTCAAATGCGAACGATGAATGGCAGAACCGAGTTTCCGAAAGATCCTATGCGGACAGTAGCGCAACAAAAGAGATAATATGAGAATAGCATAAATTGGACCAAACAAACGGAAAGGAGAAAAGAGAAAGGATGGGACGAAAGTACACAAACACATCTTCCCAGTCGAATACATAGCCGGATGTTCAGTTTCCGGGGTTGTCACAGACAAATGATAGGACAATAATAACGATTAAACAAGATAATACCAATGGTAAATGGCAAAAAGAAAACTTGGGGTATCGCTATGACGGGTATGGATGACAATGGCGTAATAAACAAAACGTCCAACAATGTACGCAAGCACAGATGAGAGCAAAGAGTGGGATATGATGCAGTAGAAAGACAAACGCCGGAACCTTGGCTGATGCTGACAATGATAGGAACAAGATTCCAGATCGGGAGAGAGATGAGAGGAAAGACCAGCACAAATCTGCAGTGGTCGGAGGTTAAAGGTGAGCGAGATAGGAGGTGACGTGACCCTCATTGCACGAATGATGAGTTCGACGTTGTTGTTGACACAGTGGGGGTCAGGTTAGGAGAGCCTTCCTTGTCCTCAGGGGGAGAATCGCTGCGATCCTGTGCTTGATCCCGTTCGCGCTCGGCCGATGAGGAGCGCTTGAAGACAGTCTGGCCGATTTGGCGTAGAATACCCATGCGTTCAGCGCGGAGCTCTTCGAGGTCTAGACGCTGAACGGAGATGGGATCTTGCTTTGAGATCTTGCAGAAAAGCGTCGAGAACAAGTACTGGTCGCCACTGGCATCGTAGAGAGGCAAATAGCGGTAACCTTGCGACAGACTGGTGAGCTTGGCGGTGAAAGTGGCCAGCTGCACGCTGTTGTTATTGCCTGCACTGCGGCCGTCCACTGAGCTCCAGACAGTCCACCGCACAAAAACAAGATCAGGATATTTAGTTTCCAGCGACAGCTTGAACTTATCATTGAAAACCGGACTGTAGCCATTGCTTTGCTCGATCTTGGTGCGGCGGCGGTGGGGATATCCGATACCGGACATACCGTTGCGCGCAGAGGCATCCATACCACCTTCGCCGAGGACAAAGCTCTGGCCACGATCATCAGCGCTGAACATCTCGATCTCGACGTAAGGGTTGATGCTGTCATCCTGCCCGATGGTACGTGGGCGGGGGAGTTGTTGTGCGGAGACAACATCAACCGAGAATCGAACCAGTTTGCGTTCCATCTTGCGCTTCTGATTTCCATCACCAATAGCCGGGAGACGAAGGCTCTCGGGCTTGAGGATGTAGCCGGTACGATCAGTGCCCGCAGCGAACATAGCCTGGTTCATCTGCATACCAATGTCGTAAGTTTGCCAGTTGAGCGCTGCCATTTGGACACCACGGCGCCAGAACTTGTTCGGATCAAAGTTGGATGAACGGAGGCGGAACCCGGAAGGATACACCCGCGTGAGATACTTGCGGTTGTGCGCTTCCAGTGCAACCTTGTTATCGTGACTCTGACAGATGCTCTCGAAAGACCGTTCAGCAAACGAGTATACGTGGTTGTACCGCCGGCTCTCTGGAGACGAGAAGCTGTGCCACTTATAGCCACGGGTATAGACACCCAGGTCAGAAAGAGGCTTGGTGATCTTGCTTTTTTGACGCCGCTTTTTCTTTTTGTCGGTGTGAACAGACACTAGCGCTCCGTCACTATCTTCGGTCGCACTGCTCATGCTCGTAGCAGTAAGCGAGCGCCTATCAGATACCAAAGGGCCGATGCTGTCGACGAAACCCATTGTAGGGGGACTCGAGAGCGTGGGAAGAGGCAGGGTGTGCATCTCAGTGAGCGTTGGTCGCACGAATGGCGTACTAGCACTGCGTTTTCGGCCGTGGGTGCCGACGGAGCCGGTATGGTCTTGGCGAGGATCAAACTGGGTCTCGTCACAAGTCTTGACTTTGACCAGAATACGACCCTTGAGCTCTTCGGGCGACGGAAGGATATGGCAGTTGGTCATCAAGGGCTCGAGGATAAGCCTTTCCTTGAATGTCTCCTTCATGATCTTAACCATTGCCAGTTGCTGTTCCGGGTTGCAGTGCACCTCAAGCGAAAGGATGAGAGGGAAGTCGCATGTAATAAAAGCGTATCGGTTAATGACAGTGATGCAATCCGCAAATAGGACACTAGTGGTTAGAGTCCGCCCGTGGGAAACGATGGGGCGTCCATCTGCGCCATCCCAGCAGTCGATCTCGACGCAACGACACCCCTGCTGAAGCGCGCTAACGTAAGCCTCGGTGCTTGATGCACCAGCCACTTGGCGGCCTAGGAGATAGGTATTGTGGGAGCTAGAGATGAAGTATTCGTTCAGCGGTCGGTCGAATCTCGACTGGGGAGCACGTGAAGCGTAGACACCGTTGCTGGAAGAAGACAAGAACGCAGCGAATGCGTCCAGGTTCATCCGTGACACGGGGGGAGGAAGGTCCGATCCTTCTGCAGAAGGAGTGCGAGATTTGGAGGCTCGCCGGACGTACTTGTCGAACAGTGCAGCCCAGTAGACACGGTCAGATTCGATATCTTCATTTTGCACATCACAAAGGAAAGTCAAAAATTCCTCTCGGGTCATGCCTTCCTTCGGTTTTGCAGCGTGAAGCTTGAAGATATCTTTGACATCCTTTCGTTCCTTCAAACGCAAGAGGAAGTCCTTGAATTCGGAGAAATCCAATTTGCCATTCCGGGCAGCATCAGCTTTAGTGAACTGTGCCCGAAGCATGTTCTTGGAACAGTTGATATGCAGGCTGCGGCAGACCTTCTCCACGGCGGCGAGGTCGAGACTTTGCTCCCCTACTGGGGGAGGACCCTGCGGGAAGAGTCTTGACATCTCGCGCTGCCAGTGTGCCTGCAGAACCGCTTCGCTTTGACTCGAACCAGCCAGGCCAGACATGAGGTCGATTCTGTACCGCGAGATATGCTCAAGGGTGGTAATCCACAGGTCCAGGATACGGTCACTAGGAGCAATGAGGTGCAAGGTCTTGACCGTTCGGCCCTTAGAGCGGTCAGAATCGGCAATGACAATGGTGAACCATCGGCGCTCCAAATCTTCCGGAATTTGATGTTCTTCGCGGTAATTGCGAGCGTCGGCACCAACCCGGATTTCTTTGATATCATCGATATAGAAGCGTTTGGCCGGGTTGGAGACATCCCAGAAAACCTTGGCGGCATCTAGGTCTAGGAAGAAGCGAACTTGCTTCCTGCGTTTCTTGGTTACCTTGGTTAGGACTGTGCCTCGCTGGACAGCAGAGTCTATCTTAGGCGCAATAGCAACGACGGGAATAGGAACAGCTTCGCGAGTCATATTCATACGACTCTCGCTGCGAAGACTGGATGCCTCCGAGCCAGCCCATGGACCCAGGTTGTCCATGGATTCACCGGTTTCATCCTCGTTGCTCGACTCAAGGGCGCTGTCTCGAACGGGCTGAGGACCAGTTTTGCTATCACTGCGCCGGCGCATGATAATGGGACCAGTGCTTCTATCCCGTTTGTCGTTCTGAGAGGTAGACTGCCTCCTACGAGTGAGTTTGTTGGCGGCGCCTCTTGAGATTCGTCGCATTAGGCCCGGCGCCTTGGTGGACGCAGCAGAGTCATTCAAGCTAGAGGGATTTGCATTTCCGGGAATCGCCATCATGGAATCGCCAAGTTCGAGGGGGCCGGGCGTAGGCAGGGAATGACCGTTCACTCGACCACAGTGTCCCTCGCTAGCAGGATGCAGGGGAGTGCCAGCAGGAGTGAAAGTATAGGGAGTGCCAGGAGCAGGGAAGGATGAGGTGGGAGTAGAGATTGGAGAAGAGGTGAAAGAGGGTGCGCAAGAAGGGGGAGGGCCGGATTGTAAAGATGTGACAACATGATGTAGAGAAGTCGGTTGAGGGAGAGATGTCGCAAGTTTTAAGTTGGATTGGGTGTCGGCATCCAGGGTTGGCGAGGTAGTCGTAGCATAAGCCATGACGACTATCTATCAAAGACGACAGCTCAGCTGCCGATGGTGGAAATATAAGCCCGTGGAATACGGTACCAACGTTCGAGTCACCTGGACTCAGAAATGGACGAATAGATAACAGCGTATGGGACCGGCCTGCTGTCAAGGTTCGCAAGGCTACCGCCTGTCAGGATTGTGGAGTGATACGAGCCAAAAGAGCAGGTAGACTATTCTGACACGGTAAGAAAATGATGGTTCAGCCACGTCCTCAGCAGA